ACCTGTAACCAACTTCAAGAGCTGTCTTTACAGCTTCTGTTGTGTTTTCCATCAGTGTTGCTGTACCAAACCCCATGACTGGCACTGTGGAGGTGTAAACATGAAGAAAGTTTATTGTGACAAAGACTTTGCTCACTAACTTTTGTTTCTTTCGGAGAAAATCTCACCTTGTATAAAATGCCAATTCACAAAAGAAAGGAAATACCTTTAGGAACCAACAAGAACTCGAAGCAAAAACAACTAAATTGCATAAAGCAGGAGAATAGGTAGGTGACCAAGTCAAGAGTGGTTTCATTTTGCATCTGATTGCTTGGGAAAGTGGTGCAAGTTTCCTGTACCAATTACAGAGCAAAGTAAAGTGGAACTAAAATGATGCAATCCAGGATTACCTTTGATGCCCAATTGAAAACTATCTAAAGTATGTTAAAACTACATTGCAATCATCATGATAATTGTTAGTTATCTCTCACTTGTGTATCCACTTGCAAGGACAACATCTGGCGGTCTCTCATTCTGCTTTGGAATCCTTAAAGGTCCACTACTTGGGTCACTGACATTGACTTTGAGAATATCATTCAAAGCAAGTTTCTCTTCTGGGCAATGAATCCTGTTGGGTTCATCATGAACTAGCTTATCAAACAGCTCTGTTACCTACAAATTATAGGAAGGAAAAAAGCTTAGGAATGAAAAAGGTTTTAGCTGACTATATTTGACCCCTGACAGATGGACAAAACACTTTGAACGCAAAGTTCACACACAGAAATTCAAAGGGAAAAGAGATCCTTAACTTGGAGTCCAGACTAAGCTGACATGGTTAGAGAGATGTTAATGATGTATTTATTGTCAGTGTGTCTGATGACTTTGGGAAATAATTTGTAACCTTGTTGCACCTTTATAAACACAATCAAAATAATTTGGTCAAAAGATTCTTAAAACCTTTTATTTTCAAACAGAAATTAATTAAACCAAGAAGTTTTGGAAGCAAATTGACAGCTTCAAATTCTAGCAGGCCATACTCCACTTTACGGCAATCAAAATAACCAATAACAATTTTGTCACCAGCCCCTAGGATCGATGCATGTAATAACATACAAAAGTCTTGAATCAATGATTAGCGAGACAAACCTTAGTTACATCAGTGTCTTCAGAAATCCCTTCTTTTCGAAACTGCTCCTCAAAGTTGAACATTGCAAACCAGACGTTGACACCAATATTTGGAGAGTCATATGACCTCACTATGTGCCACCAGTACTGAGGGATATACAACATGTCACCTATCAGAGAACATGACATTTTTCACACACCAGATATCGAGTTCCTTGTTTAGACAAGTATCTCAAAGAAAAACTCTCAATCCATTAAATCCCATGAGAGACCAAGACAGAATTACTCCTTACAAAATCAATACAAAGAGAGTGTAGGTTCCAAACAGACATTTCATGATATTAACATGATGCATCTCTAGTTGATACCAGGCTGAGCGAGTGATCTTGTTCAGCCATGTGTAGGATGAATTTTGTTTTGAAGATTGTGAGTGTGAATCGTTTTCATCCTATTGATTTCGACAAACATTTTTCAGTTATTTTGAGAAGGAACCCTCAGATTGTTTGTAAGTGTTTGACATTTCGATTTATTTGAGCTTTGTATACTTTCATTCTGCTTTATTTTGCTTCACGTTTGCAAGTTTCGATTGTGTAATTCTACTTTCAGAAACATATTTGTATGCCGTTTATTTGATGAACCTGGATTAAAAGACTCTAAAATTAACCGATCGATTCAGCGGCTACAGAGAGATGTTTTTCATCATGCAGTTACATGCATGGGACAAAGAAAAATCCTGAGTCCCCAATGAGGAATTAAAAGTCAGACCTTTGGATTCCGTGCTGCGATGCTCTATATTTGAGCCACAGAGACTCATACAACATCAAGCAGACAAGTAATGAGAATATAGAAGAATATCAATTAGGAGATTATAAGTTTCTCCAGTACCAACTTCTCAGAACAAACATCATGAAAATTCTCTGGCAGACAATGAGGAGAATTAATTATGAGATCTTTGGAGTAAAAGGGTTAAAAATAACTGGTAATGGAAAATTTTTAAAAAAATTAGCAAGATTTTTACCTCTATTCAAAGTCACTTCTTAGTAAGGTACATCTGCTAGTTTGGGATACATTTCCAAATCTAACTTCTCGGGATCCATGGACACGACTCCTGGAGCAATAGTGAACTGATCGGCATAAAGATCCTTTGCATATGTGCTATTGATGAGGTAGACTTTCTTTGAACCAGATACAACTGTAATGATGTTCTCTAATCCATCGTGATGAAAAGCAGAATTTGCTTCCCCGCTATTAAATAATAAATTCAGGTTGTCTATGTTTGACCATATCTCATGGCAGTTTAAGATTGACGGCAGAAAAATGTCTTTCAACATGGCACTGTTCTGTGGAAATGCAGAATCCAAGTACACATTTTCCTGTCTATAAATATTCAAGAATTCTCTAAAAGCTAGTGGTTTTCGGACAGGAAATTCATTTTTGAATTTCTTACGATATTCTACGGTGAAAATTTCAGATCCATAATTTGAGGTCAGGTAAGATTCATTTTGCCATTGTTGTACGGCAGGCCAGTGCTCAGCTCCATTTCTGATGACCACGGGTTTCCGTTTGTAAATATAGTTGTGATAGAAGTCTGCGCCACTTGGAGCATACTGCAGACTCGAAACTTCACCTTCTGCTAGTCTGTGTTCACCAAAACGTTTCAAGTGGCCTAGAAAAAAAAAAAACTAATTCTTCCCATTCCAGATGTGAAAAACATGTGACTTCTCTCATGAAAGAGGAATTAAAGGGGAACTGAAGCCTAAAATTGGTATATTGTTTGCAATCATTCCTAGTTAGCTTCAGAGGAGTAAGATAAAATGTTGATATTCATTTTCATTCACTTCTTGTTTTTTACAAGAAAATTAGATTTGAAGTTGCCTCTTTCCTCCTTTTGGGGCTGTAAGACTGTTGGCTCAAAATAGGTCAGCAGTGGTCATTTATGACGTCAGTGGTGGGGAACCAACTAAGAAAAACAACTGTTACTATTCCAATTTCGTAGTTAATCCCCATTACAAGTCACACAACTTTGATAACTCCATAACCAAACCAAATTTCTGTGGGAAGAGTACGGGTTTATTATCTTTCTTCCCCACCAGTGACGTAAGAGTGAGCTAAAATGACCACTGACATCGCTTTTCTGAGCCGCTGGACTATAAGGCCAAAATACCACTTTAAACTATTTTTCCAAGGTGAAGTTGGGCCTAAAGACTGAAAAAAACCCTCGAACATTGCTATTTGAAGTATAAGCTGCAATTTAAAAATGGTTCACTTTTAGGCTTCAGTTCCCCTTTAAAGGGGTGAATAGGAAAAAGAAAACCTCAAGTGACTTCTGATCTGATCAACTACCAGATTCTCTTTTTTAATAACCTCATATTCCTCAGTAAAATGGATGGAGAAGTAGATGTTACATCAGAAAATCTTTATTTTTCACACCTGTTCATTTTCATTGTTATCCCCAAAAAAATTATATGGAATAATTAAACCTATCAACCATCTGGTGAAATCTTGATGGAGCAGCAAATTCTCATTCTTATTCAATTAGGAATATATGGCACCAGGAAAGGAGAACTCCATATCTGATCTTGGGAACTGAAATTCAAAAATCTACTTGTGCCCCATATCTCCCTCTGACATTAAATACACCTATTGTTCTAAACAAGGATTTCATGATGTGTAAAGAACCCAGGAACCTCAAAGTTAAAATTTACACTGAATTTTTCTTTTCTAGTGTTTTTTTTGTTTTTTTGTTTTTGTTTTTTTTTTTTTGTTCTGCTTCTCTAGCCGATCAAATGTCGGCAAAATCCGCTCTTGTCCAATGCCTGTTGTGTGGCTGCTGTTTATGAAGTGGCCATGTGGTTACCCCACGATAAACAAACCAATCAGGAAATTGTACGTATATTTAAGAAATTACTGCTGAGACATTACCTCTTAAACAAACGCTTCTCCATTATATCAATATAATATAGGAGTTCTACTAAAATCACCAAAAATATTTTTTGTTCAAATACAAACATTTTGGATGTGTTCAAGGCCACACCATTCTCACAGCTCAAGTGTAATCGACGTACACGTTTCTTAGATGGGCGTTCTCATTTTCAAATAAAAAACACTTTTAAATGTCTATTAGTGAACCGGCGGAAAATTCATTCAGAGCATCGATTGTTCACAGAACAGCCAGGAAACTCGAAAGAAGTCTTCAGGAACACTATTAAATTCGTTTACCTTACTGTCAGTAGTATTTATTTAGAATCTAAAATAAGCTGAAAAAGAATACCTTTTTTCTCGATCTCATCACAACCATCTTTGTCGCAATAGCCTTGAGATGTAGCCGTAGTTGAATACCACAAAGAAACAAAAGATAACAGCAGAATTGAACCACCGGCGGGAAAATATTTTCCCCCGTGATCAATCAACAACATGGCGCAGAGGACAAACGAGAGTGGAGAGATTTCCTGCAAGGTTTTTCCCCTTCTATCGGCTGAAATTCCGTGTGCACTATCTTAACGACGCTTCGAGGTATCGCAAGTCATAAATAGTCAGCTGATTTCCACTGAACATCTGTTCACCTCTCATTTTGATAAGACCAATAGTCGACAATTTCCATAATTCTCTCAATTCTCTCTCTTCGACCTATGCGCATAACGGAAATTGCGTGACCACATAAGGAGATTCTAGTTTGGAATCAGTAACGACTTAAACTTTAAACACGTAAGTTTCTTTTCTTGCTTCAGTAAAGGATCAAAGCGCGAATATTTTTTAACCATTCTAAAGGATCATTCAGTTTCTTAGGAAACATTACCTTGAACATAAAATCATGCACAGCAATCCATTAAGAAGGCGACAAACTATTGTTCCCTACACGCTGACTGATTACCATATTCTCAAAGCAGAAAAACATACATCTCGAAATCTGCTATTGAACAAGATAAATCATGGCGCAACTTGAAGTATTTCTTATGCTCTTTCTCTTTTGTAAACTTTCTCCGTCCACAGCCGATTTTGAAGGAGATTCTTACGTTTTGGAGGCAAAGGATAATTTTCATTTCGGTAGTGCAGAGGGGCATATTGAGGTAAAGTGTTCTTTTCTTTGTTATGAATTTAAGCAGGTAAGATCTACCTTTGAAAGATCAACTAGTTCGCAGTTGTCTTTCAAAGTCTGCTTTCAATTGGTTGGAGGCCAAAATTGTGTTTTACTTCTTAGAGAACAATCTATTCCGGTTGTTGCTAATAGCCTTTAGCTAGATGTTCTTAACTTCGATTCACGACGAAATCGAAGTAAAAAACAGGGAAACTTTTACTGAGATAATAACGAAAGTTACACATTAAGTGTCGGAAACTATCGACGAAACATGCAAAGTTAAAAATCATTGAAAAAGTTGCGAGAATTTTATTTATTTTTTAGGGTTTCCATGTTCCTAACTGTGGCATTAACTTGGATTTATCAGTTAAATCCATAATTTTTTTGTGGAAATTAAGAGAGCTAGGTTAAGAGACTCGACTTCCAAATGTAGGGGACAACCAAATTCGGATTGAGGAAATTATTTTATTTTTCAGTCTTTATGAGGCATTTGTTAGTTACATTGTTTTCTCGTCTATTGATGAATCCGCAGCTGGTTAAATATTTTACAATTATAATCTCACTTCAAACGTTGGTAAATTATAATGGAAATTTCTTAAAATTGAAACATCAGCCCTGTAACTAGTTTTACCCGCGGTGAGAGTTTTCATGTTGAGTTTTAACTGTTTTGAGTTTCTGTGCCAGTTTAATGTTTTTTTGTAAAGGTTTTAAGAAAATTGTTTTAATCCTCAGAATAAACAGCACTAAAATTGATAAACATTGATCAGCTTTAGCTTGGCTCAACAGACAATCCTGAGCATGGTTGGTTTAATATTTTAATTCCCAAAATCTGATTGTTAATTCTCCCCTCAAACTGCAAGACATTTCCTTGTAAATTGTTTACTAGAATTTGGAGTTAGATCGATACGATAACTTCTACCTTAAGTGATCAGTTTTAGTATTCTCGCTACCTGTTTGTCAGATAATATATGGATATTATATGGAGAAGTTACATGTTGATCACTTCTGGGAGTTAAAGGGTTAAGCCAGGAGGACAGTGGTCTCACTAGACAGATATAGATGCTAATTGTCTGAGAGTAAGGGCTAGTGAAGGTGAAACATTTGGCTTCAATTGATGAGGTGTGGATAAATTTGTCCCAAAAAAGTGCCACAAGGCTTGAAGATTATGACAAAGAACCTAATATATTCCCATCTGGCCAAACCTAACTCAGCTGATGAGCATTGTTATGATGTGAACATTACATCTTTTCTTTCCTCCTTTCTCTTTACTTTCTTGTGGAACAATAAACCTGGCTGTTTTGCTTTTTGTTTCCCTAATTTTTTTCCCATCACATTTTAGGTCCCCCATACAAGGATTTTTTGGCAATGTTGAGTCAAATAATTATGTGAATGAATCCCATTCACAGGTGTTGTGTCCTTAGTTACTTATTACACAGTATTTCTAACTATGGTGATCTCTCTTATATTGGTATAATTGCTAGCTTTTTTGTGCCCTCTGATTGGTCGAAGTTTGGTGAATCATGCAGATATCCCTATAAATACCTTACTCTGAAGTGCACATAGCAAGCTTCTAAGTTTTTCTCAACACTTTTCAAAAGTAAGACAAAAATATTTTGTTGATTAGGGGAAGTGAAACTACAGTTAAATTCTAGCAGAAAGACTGCCATGGCTGTTTATCCCAATACAAGTACTGGTAGTCAAAACAGTTGTTAGTAACAAAATGCACTAAGCTTTCTTAACAATTATAATAATTAAAAAACAATTATTCATCTTAGCCTTAGTGGATACCATTGAAAAATTCCCTTGACCTTGTCCTTGGGAATTTTCAACTATATTCACTCTGCCTTTGGTAAATAATTGTTAAATGAAATATAAATGAGATGATATTATTTGTAAGGTATGAATTGTTTATGAATTTTAATGTTCTTAATCTTGTAGGATTCTGTTCTTGACTTTGACCTCACTTCACACCTCTCCTTCAAATATCAAACAAATGATGGACGAAACATTTTTGTCTTTGACAAGCTTTTAAAACCAAAGACTCTCAGAACATTTTTAAACTATATGACTGTAGATCTAGGTTCCTGGCAGTTTTGGCTATACGAACCTTACGATGACGGCATTGAAGAGCTATCAGATAACATTCCATGGGTAAATCCCATAGACTGTGTTGAATTTTCAAAATCTATTATGGGCAAAACAATTCAGCAGGCAGTGATGGATGCTATTGGCACAAAAGATACATACTATCCCTACAAAGTAAGAGGGAAACTCATGCGACGTGGAGACTTCACAAAACTTTACACTGATGCCAATAGAACAGATGACGAGTTTTCTGCCATGATGTTCTTGAATCCAAAATGGAGGAAAAACGATTACGGAGAGTTATATTTGTAAGTATCGACTGGAGTTTTAAATGAATATTTTATATTCATTTGATAGTTGAAAAATTCACGTTTGACAAACAAAGCCTGCTTTGTGTAAGCATAAGCCAACAGTTCTACTGCTTTGGATAAACTAATAACTCTTTGACCCCTATAATGAGCAACAATCTTCTACTTTCCCCTAATAATAGCACCCCTGAATCACACATCAAGATCAGGAGAATAAAGAAAATGGTTATCAGCTAAAGAAGTTCCTGATTGTTAAACAATTTCTTGCTGTCGGCACCTTAGGAAACGTATAGAGACCAGTATGGAGAATATGCATACTGAGTTAGTGTGTACTTCAGGGGTTAAAGATAGTTATTGAGAGTTGAACACGGGGTTAAGAGGGAAATTCACCTTTTCTCTATACTAGCCAGCTATGTCAAGGCTGTGCTCTAACAGCGCCAGGTGGCCCCTAGCACCTTACTTTTGCTCTTGGGTGACTTGGAAATTTTAGTTTTTTCATACAAACGATATGCTGGGCACCCTGGATTTCACAGTTTCAGAGCACTGGCCTCCATTCAATTTTTCGTTGAGCACAGCCTTGTATGTGTACAATCATTCACATACTCTTTCCCTACTATATGAAATGTTAACCATTTAACTCTCACAAGTGACTCCATGACAAAATTTCTCCTTACAATATCAAGCAGACAAGTTATGAGAATAAAGTAAATTATCAGTTAGGGGATTAGGAGTTGATTCAATACACAATTCTATTAACAGACATGGTAAGAATTGAATTGCAGATAGTAAAGAGAATTAGTAATCAGATTTGGAAGGGAAGGGTTAAGGATTTTGTTATAATTTGTTTTGTGAGTGTCTTCATGTATTTTGACAGAGTCTCCTGAATGAAATAAGGCAAATGGTTGGCTCTAGGATGAGGGCGGGGAATGTTAGAAAGAGGTACTGGGTTCAATTGTCTGAGAAATACATTTTCTTTTTAAAAAAAGAGTGTTTTGTAGAGTGGAAGGCAGAGGAGAGGGTCTGTAAAGAGAGGTTGGGGAAAAGAAAGATTTTAAGTAAATCAATTTACAAAATGATGGTACTTTTCAAAAAAATAATGTTTCTAGATATGATGATGACATTGAAATTGTTGCTGGAGCTGTTCCTAAGTTTGGTCGTCTGGTTGTTTGGAACAGTTCTGTTTCCTACCTTCCAAGGCCTCCAAGCATTGCTTTCAAGAAAGGCCAGCTGCTCCTGCATGTACAATTTTCAAAATCAAAGGAAAAAATGCTGAAGAACCATGCAGAGATAGCTGCATCCAAAGCCACACGTCAGGCTGCATATGATGCAGGTTTCATTGGGAGTGACAAGCTGGCACCGAATGACATTGACATTCAAAAGAATTTTGTCTCTACTTCTAAATCACTTGAAGGAAAGGAGATCCATGTGTTTGATGACCTTTTTGAAACGGAGGATTTGGATCAATTGAGAGCGTTCATTTTTAAACATGGCACATATTATTATGATGATAGCGATGAGGGTGATAATGACAGTGACAATGTTCAATGGATCGCAGGGTTTGAGATTGATGCCTATATCAAAAGTAGATTATGGAACATCATGCGGCAGGTAAGCTCACCTTGTTGTCTAGGTAAAGTAGCTTCAATTTGAAAATCTTCCCCTTGTTATAGTCCCTTTGTCAATTCTTATGCTATTTTTGGTCAAAAATATCACAGTGTCAATTAAAGTTTTTAATTACAAAAAAACAAGGGTGATTTTTTTTTTTAATTGATGGCCATTGCCAGATCATGTTCTAGTTGAGATCAGTACTTTAGTGGCTGGTTCAAGAGGGAAATATCTCTGATACTAACTGAGTTCGAGGTCAATATTGTAAGTTAAGGACCAAGCTTTTTCACTTAGATTTATGACTCGGGTACGTGGGTAATTATTTGGACGGAAAAAAACATGAGGTTCTTTAAATTGCAGCACAAAGTGAGAAAATGAAGTAAGTAAGATAATTGTTGCACCGGCTATAAATCTGAGTGGAATATGCACATTGATGTAAAGGTGTATAGGGTTAATGAAGACTTTGGTTTTTCAGACATTAAAGCATATAACAGGGAGGGACAAGTGGTTTCCTTATGACATCTCCTGTAACTTGATCAGGAGTGCAGACCACACACGTATTCACCAAGATTGTGAACCACATGAAGACGAATGGACATACCTGATATATCTAACACCAAACTGGACAAAGAATGACTATGGAGAAACAGCTTTCTATGAGACAATGACCAATGATAATGAGATCATCACTGAGGTGCGACCAAAATATGGAAGGGCTGTTGTCTTCCAAGGTACTGATCAGAAATATAGCTATTAATAGGCCATTTTACCATTATGTAGTACTAAGTTTTAGTAGCCAAGCCATTGATTTGGAGTGAGGCTAAAGGTGATCTTGTTGTGATAGAGACCAGTATTGATAGGGGGGGGGGAGGTGTCAGTTAGCATAATAACAAAGGGATTTACATTTTAAAAACAGCAATTTCTGTATCATAACAAGGTCACCCTTAGCCTCGCTCCTGTTCAGCTTGGCAACCAAGCACGCAACTGTAAAATGGACTATTAATTTTGTTGTTGTGGTGATATATGTTGGAGAAAAAGTAAAATTACACATTCAAGCAATAACATGCATGCACAATGTGTATCTTTGGTTTTCACCAAGAGATGTAGTAGTTGGATAAGAAATCAATTGAAGGTAAAAAATAGAAAGTGCTTTGTTCCACCTCTGGTTATAAAATAGCATAATTGACAGATAATCAAATTTTTGCCAGAGAATTCTGTGTACTAACAGGTTAATGGTTTGATGTCAGGTGGATAATGAAGAAATCTTAACAATCAGATAATTTTTTATATTTAAAACCCTTAAATCTCATAGCATAAAACATAAAAGGTCATGTATGCCCAATGAAGCAATTGGCCCCTCTAGCCAGAGCTTATTCTGGTAATTCTCAATCACTCACAAACCACAGTAAGAGAAGTTATTTCATTCCCCTTTGGCCAATTACCATTCTCTACCCAATTAAGTTACACCCACAATTTTCTAACAAGCACTCTTTGATTTTCACAGAGGGGTACCTCTATGGGATTGAGTTATTGAGAATTAACTGAACCAACAAGTTACAGCTGTTTAAGGTGCTTATATAGATTTTGTTTAGAAAAAAAAAAACCTTTTGGTAACTTGCTCTCCATCTCCTTTCATTGCAGGAATTATTCCTCATTCAGCAAGGCCACCCAGTACAAACCAATCACATGCACGCCTCACCTTTGTTGCTAAAGTGTCTGTGGATGAGTTTGTGGGTCGACACAAAGCATTCAGAGAAGAAATGAGGCACTACCAGGGTCTGGTAGAAACAGAGAGTATGCTAAATGCTATGGAACATGGACTAGGTAAACAATCATAGAGAGAGTTCCCCTCTCTAGTATGCCCACAGGGGCCCAAGCTCTCACACAGAGAGCTTGTAACATGATCCTCTCCCAGAGAGCTTGGGTGCCCTGTGGTATTCATCACTTTCTAATTAATTTTATTGTGCTAGACGATAAGTTTGTAAGAAGTCCCCTCACTCTAATAATCCCTCTATTCTAGTGTTATTACTTTGTGCAAGGTAGCATTGTAACACAAGATATACTTTTATTGTCCTTGTTATTCTACTCTCCATGTGCTCCCTTGACAGGTTTAAACCGTTTTTCTTCGAGATCGCTTGCGTGACACTGATGCCACGCTCACTTTCCGTTCCGTCCCGACAACCTGTAATTTACATCGAGTTATCATGGGTTCTCTGTGATGTTTTTCCTTTTTCTGATTGGCTGTCTTGGTTACTTACGGCACCTTCATCCGTCAATTAGATCCCGACTATATTTGTACCCTCCCTTGTATTCGTCTCACTTCCGGTACTCTTTCGCGCCATGACTTTTGGTAATCTTACTTCCGTCAGAAGCTTCTACCTATTCAACTGCATTTTTCCCTCCGAGTTTCTTTGTGTGTATTGGACATGTATGGTTTCATGATACTCCTTCGAAATCCGCCCAATACTTTTTTTTTTGCCCGTTAGATTTAGACCCAGAAGTAGACGAAACCAAACCTCGCAATGAAAAGTTGTCAGATGACAAAGAAGCCTCAGAACCTGACGATGAAATGGAAGGAGATGAAATTAATCTTGACGAGATCGAAAAAGAAGAAGAAGAAGGATTTCTACATGAGGAACAACCAGATCACCCAGTCCTACAAGAACTGAACGCGCGTCTGAACGCGGCTTTGCAAACAGGGGGCCTGGACCAGATGAGAAATCTTCACCGAGAATTACATGCGAGGCATGTCGCGGCTCGACAAGAGGCTGTCAAACGGATTACAAATCTTATCTGAAATCTAAGGAAATGTGGTGGTGTTAATATTGAAATAAAAATACTTTCAATATCAACGATACAAACGTTTTTGTACATTGAAAGGCTAAATGAAAGAGTAGTTGTAAGTAACTCAGCGAATCTTTGTGTTCTACGAAAAGTTAGACGTTGGGCGGCCGAAATCGAACAGTAAAGTCAAAATCACATGGAACTGTCCGAGATCGGACGAAACTGATCGAAATCGGATGGAACTGTACTAAAACAGACATTTTTTGCTCTTTTCTAAATGACGTTCGTTCGATGAAACTGCGAATTTCTCTTTATCACTCAGGAACTAGCCTCGGCTACGTCGAGGGTTATGTGCTTGCTTTCTATTTTCTATTGTTTTCCAGTTCTTTTTTCTATTATTTCCCTGTTCAGGGTGAGAAAGTTATTTTTCCTTGGAAATACGGCTCTCTCGATAGAGATTGATAGAATTATTTGCATTCAAATCCACTCCTTTCTTTTGATTCATTTCACACGCTTTGTACCGTTGTTCTTAAAGGAGCACTTACGAAACCGCTCTATAATTTGAAAGCCCGAAAAATTCAGTTATTAAATTATAATATGAATTTTTTGTAATTAATAAAGCCTTTTAAATAACAAATTTAGTTGAAAGTCAATTCTAGGGCGAGAAATTATGATTTGAAAACCGTTCAGCAATTAATTTTCGTAATCACGGCCAACTTATCTTCGGTCAGCGGTCACTCCCATTGTGACGTAATTACTCAAAACACTGTTGGCGTCATTTTATATTTCTACGGAAACCTCGTGAAATTAAGTGAAATAGTCTTAAAGGTAAAAGGTAAAGTCTGTTTACGAGCCTAGTGGTCCATCAGGCCAGTGCTTAACTCCGGTTTCTGCAGCATGAAGCGACTAGGAGTATTTCTACTCCCCCCTGGATGGGATGCCAGTCCATCGCAGGGTTACCCCCCAGCATTAAATTACCGGTACTTGGGTGGAGAGAGAGGTACTGTGAGAGTAAAGTGTCTTGCCTAAGAACACAATGTCCCGGCCGGGGCTCGAACCCGGACCACTCGATCCGAAGTCGAGCGTACCAAAAACCTCGTGAAATTTAGTGAAACAGTCTTAGTCTTAGTGTAATAAAAGCAATATACACGATCAAAATGCTGTTTATGAAAATTAGCCACGAGCACGGCGCGTCAAATGAGTAATCTACGTCACCTTCCAAACTGGCGCCAGTCTTCTTGAGCCTGGCAAGTGATTACGAAAATTAATGGCGGAACGGTTTTCAAATCGTAATTTCTCGCCCTAGAATTGACTTTCAACTAAAATTATTATTGAAAAGGCTTTATTAATCGCTAAAAATTCATATTATAATGAAATAACTGAATTTTTCGGGTTTTCAAATTATAGGGCGGTTTCGTAACACTGCTCCTTTAAGTTTATTGTTTTCCCATACTTGACAGTTGGTTCATGCTTTAGCGTGCAGTATCGAGTTACGGAGCACGCGCGAGGTTTGAAGAGCACGAAAGAAGCGTAAGAGTTGCCCGAGGCAATAGGCGAGGGCAGCTCTAGCTTCTTGAGTGCTCTCCAAACTTCCCACTTGTTCCATAACTCGATAGTGCACAGCTGAAAGCATGAACCAATTGTTTTAGAACATAGCTGGTGGAATTGTGCATGAAATCTGATGCGAAAAACGGACAACGATATCAGTTGAAGCGAATCGTGACGGCGCTGATGCCGAGTCTCCTTTTCCTTTGTTTTTCTCTTTTTCTGCCTCATTTAAGAACTCTAACCCAAGGGAAAAGGTCGAAACATTGTCTTCGTTTTCGGACTAGTAGGCCGAGTTTCTGTTTGTATCCATTATTGTCGCGAAATATATTATTTTTTCCCGTGCTAACAATGGCCGCTCGCTCGAAAAGAAACATTTCTGGCGAAGTCGGATTTGCTGACGCTATCAGCGTGCACTATCGGGATTTTGAGTATAATGAATTTGATTGCACGACTCTGCTAGCTATGTTCTAAATTTTCTTTGTTCATGTTTAGAAAAAAGTTTCACTCCTGGCATATGAAAGCACCAGTGTTAGTCGTTGGGAACAGGTCCCGGCCGCTGGAAGGGTGGATGACAATATCCGCCGTATAAATCTCATTCCGATGGATAGCGTAGTACATTTTGTCAACACTTTTCCGCCGGATAGCGATTTATCTGTTCGTTAGATATACGCCCTTTAAAAATGGGCCCGAGTATAAGTAAGTGGATGGGAGACCTGATTGCGAACGCACAAGGAAATTCTATGCATGCAGCCATGGATATTTTATTCACTTACTGGAATGCTCCAACGACTTCCGTCGAATTTTGGTGAGATTTTTCTGAGGAAAGGTCACTCTGCCCTCCTTAAAAATCGTCGATAGGGTCGAAAAAAATCGATGTATACTTTAAATTGTTTTATCAAAGAAAGAAATACCAGCAACAACTCAAGCGAAACGGCTGAAATAATTGAAATATGCAAATGTTGGTCTCCTTACAAGTCGTCGTCAGGAATATTTATTTGCGTATTTTGGGCAACGTGTCCCAGATACGAAGCGTATGAATTAAGTTAACGCAGTAAAATGGAAGGTAAAAGAGACCACAGAGAGACAGCTTCTTCGTCCGGCACGGTTTCTTCACCAAATTCATTCGCTTTGTGCCATCCAGCGAAATTTGCTTTCAAAGCTTACTATTTCTTCTTCTACGCCGCCATTGGAAGCTCCTTTCCGTATTTAATGTTGTTCTTCAAACAGCTGGGACTGAACGCTGCACAGGCTGGAATTCTTAGCGGGGTAAAATTGTTTTCTGAAGCTATCGGAGCGCCTTTGTGGGGAACAATTGGAGATCAATTAAGAATTCGAAAGATTATTTTGTTCGCATCTCTTGTGTCATTTTCGTCAGGAATTTTATTGTTTATGCCTTTCCCACCGAGAAATCAAGAGTGTATCGAGACGAGAGCGAACGCTACAGAGATCAAAACGCCACTGAGCTTTACCACAGGACAAATAAGATATGAAGAACAGAGCATCGAAGAAGGAGGGTATCTCAACCACACAGGTCAAACAAATTTCAGTCGTCGAATCGACGAAACTGAGATGTCAAAAATATTTACAACTTTCTTAATTATAACCATTAGCAGTCAAATTGTCGGCTCGGTAGTTTTCAATATGCCTGATGCCTTGGTCGTGGGTTACCTCCAAGGTGGTATCAGTACGTTCGGGTATTATCGGGTATGGGGCGAAGTTGGAGTCGCTACTGGTTCGTTCGTTGTCGGAGGTGTCATCAACTTTTACCGGTCTGAAGTGTGCGGTGAGATCGTGAAAAACTACTTCATTTCATTTTATTTCTTTGCTGGGTTTATTTCGCTTGCTATGTTCACCCTTATCTTCGTTAAGGTGACGTATCCGGATGGGGACGCTGATGATTCGAACTTGTGGCTTTTAATAAAAGAACTTATGCGCCTTCACAACGCCATGTTCGTGGTTGTGGCTTGCTTCCTAGGCATTCTTGTGGGTATGCACGAGTATTTTGGTCTTTGGTACTTAGATGACCTGGGAGCACAACCTTACATGCTGGGTCTAGCTTCCGGTTTGCGATACGCCATTGCTTTATGCGGGTACACTTTTTCTGGAATGGTTATAGACAAGTTCGGATACACATGCACCATAGCAGTCTGCTTGCTGCTCTATACTTTTGATTTCATGGGTATGGCGTTTGTTGTGAACCCCTGGCTTGGCGTGGTACTGTTTAGTGCTCAGGGGCTATTATACGGAACCAGCTGGTCTGCCTGCGTAGTTTTTGGTGGTACTGTGTCATTGCGCGTGGGTTTCTATTCAGCAACCCAAGGTAAGTGAATCACAGACTGGGGTAACTTTTAGGGTCCAAGGTTACCTTGGACAAGTGCGGAAGTATCTAAAAATCAAAGAATCATTGTTGGTAGATAACGAAGCACTCAAAATGGGCTATGGTAACCTTGTTCCCATGGTCCTCTCTTGCTCTCTCACTCCTCCTCCATCGAGGGAGAAAGAGATAGGACCCTGGGAACGAGGTCAGACAGATGCGTGCGTGGGCATGCTCATGCCTCTCGTTTTTAACTTTATTTTCTTTGCCTTCAGGTGTCCTCGGCGGAGTTTACTGGGGTTTAGGAGTCGGCACAGGGGTATTTCTCAGCGGTGTCCTTATAAACTGGCTTGGCGTTGCCAAGACCTATTTTGTTTACTCTCTGGTGACACTTCTAACTTTAGTTCCTTTTTCATTAGCTAATTTTTGGATCAGATCGAGAGACGATAGAGGGAACAGTGACCAAAAATATGAACTATTGCCGAAAGAGACAGAAGAAAACCATTGATGCCACTAAAGGTGTCAGTTATTCTTTAAAACTATAATGTCTCGCCAGCTTACTCCTCCCCACAAACTTACTTCATTCTTGGACTAGTGTTAGACCTTGTGAACAGGCCCAGGTTGTTTGAAGGGTGGATAATAATCAGTATCCGCTGGATAAATTTCGCTCCGATGGATAGCGTAGTAAGTTTTGTTAACACTTTCCCGCTGGATAGCGATTTATCCGTTCGATAGATATACGCCCTTTGAAAAATGGGCCTGGATGTTTTTCTAAGTAAGTACATGGGAGACGAGCTTAATATTGCGACTGCCGAAGGAAACTCTATGCTTGCAGCCATGGATATTTATTCACTTACTGGAATGCTCCAACGACTTCCGTAGAATTCTGGTGAGATTTTTCAGAGGAAAGGTCACTCTTCCCTTAATTAGAAATCGTCGATAAGGTCGAAAAAATTGATGTATATTTTGAATTGTTTTATTTAAGAAAGAAATACCCGCAACAAATTATCTCCTTTCCGATCCTTTCCAACGTATTTTAGGTCAAGTTTAACTGTAAATTCAGGGGTCGAAACGGCTTTCGACGAAGGAGAACGCATACTAATCATGTCGTTTTTCGGAAATCACTCTCGAGGGTTTTATGGACCAGTCCCAAGGAGATCGATCATGATGCCATTTGATTTAGGGGTCTTAGTTTCCGTAATTACGAAAACTAAAAGACCCCCATCAAACCATTCTTTAAAATTTCTAAAAAGTCAAATTACTAACGTTCAAAGACTATAATCCGTAAAACAACCCTAGTTTTTGGTTGTTTTACGGATTAAAGTCTTTGAGCGGTCGTAATTCGACATTGTAGAAATTTTACAGAATGGTTTGGAGGGGGTCTTATTTTTCGTAATTACGAAAACAAAGAGGGGTCTTAGTTTTCGAAATTACCAAATCTAAGACCCCTGAATTTACAGTTAAACTTGACCTAAAATACGTTGGAAAGGATCGGAAAGGAGATAATTTGACAGATTAGACCTGTTTTGGTTACAATGTGACTTTATATTTCGACGGATTTGATTTCAAGGGGTGTTAGTTTTCGTAAGTCTTGAAACCTAAGACGGGTCTTGAAGATCTTAGGGCCTGATTACATGAGCCGGGCTGGCCCTGTTAGCCGGGCTGATTTCTTTTGTTTTGGTGTTCACCAAAGCGTGAAAACAAAAGAAATCAGCCCGGCTAACCGGGCCAGTTCGGCTCATGTAATCAGGCCCTTAGTTTTCGTAACACCGATTAAAAATGCGAGAAACCATTTAAAAATTTGTTCACGACGTTTCGTCATCAAGTCAAAGGGTGAAAGATAAAAATTTTTAAATACTAAAAAGACAATCATGGAATGTTCTTTTTAAACAAAGAGTTTTGCGCGAATAGAATCAATCTGCGTGTTGAGACTAGGAATGCGCTGTTTGATGAAAATCACCTCGTAGACAAGACAGTCCAATTTTCCTTGGCGCTGTATTAGAATTTTGCGGGATCGGCTTTCTTTGAGGAGGCTTGTTTCCCCATGGGCTGTCGAAAATTGTTTACCGATCGCAGAGTTTTTGTACTCAACAATACGTTGATAGAGGCCGTGTAGAGCTGTAAAGCCGACGTAATATGAATCACACGGATCACATATAAAAGAATAAACGACGCATTCATTTACGACTAGAGGCGTCATTTCTCTGGGCTTGAGTTCTTGTTCCAGTTTTCTGCCGGCTGATAAACACGGGTTGTAGTGTGGTGCCAATCTTGTGATCGTCAGATCACGCATTTGTCTGCTCTTAACTGCGTTAGCTGATGTTTGATCTTTGGAGGGCAAACTCACTCGCACAACGCTGCTGTCCTCCTTGTTTTTCTCTCTCGTGCCAAATGAAAAGCTCTGAATGGTTTTGCAGGTAATGATAGAATTAATCATTGCCAAGGGATAATCAAGTCGCGTAAAGCGGATGGAACGCAGTTTAGTGCATTCTTGATTAGAGATCGAACGCACTTTAATTTTTGCGATCGGCGTTACACGTGCTCGTGAAACTACTAGAAATCGAACGCACTTCAACCTTTGATTATGTACTAGTTTACTAGATATGTAAGTGTTGGTTTCATGACGAGTCAACAGAAACATTTATTTGCATATTAAGCAACGTGTCGGATGAAATTAGCTAACGTAGTAAAATGGAAGGTAAAAGAGACCTGAGAGAGACAGCTTCTTTGTACGGCACGGTTTCTTCGCTAAATTCTTCCGCTTTGTGCCATCCACCGAAACTCGCTTTCAAAGCTTACTATTTCTTCTTCTACGCCGCCATTGGAAGCTCCTTTCCGTATTTAATGTTGTTCTTCAAACAATTGGGACTGAACGCTGCACAGGCTGGAATTCTAAGCGGGGTAAAATTGTTTTCTGAAGCTATCGGAGGGCCTTTGTGGGGAACAATTGGAGAAAAATTTAGAATTCGAAAGATTATTTTGTTCGCGTCTCTCGTGTCATTTTCATCAGGGATTTTATTGTTTATGCCTTTCCCACCGAGAAATCAAGAATGTATCGAGACGAGAGCGAACGCTACAGAGATCAGAATACCACTGAGTTTTACCACAGGACAAATGAGATATGAAGAAGAGAGCATGGCAGATGGCGGGTATTTCAACTACACAGGTCAAACGAATTACACGCGTCGAATCGACGAAACCGAGATGTCTAAAATATTTACAACTTTTTTAATCATAACTATTAGCAGTCAAATCGTCGGCTCGGTAGTTTTCAATATGCCTGATGCCTTGGTAGTGGGTTACCTCCAAGGTGGTATCAGTACGTTCGGATATTATCGGGTATGGGGCGAAGTTGGAGTCGCTACTGGTTCGTTCGTTGTCGGAGGTGTCATCAACTTTTACCAGTTGGAAGTATGCGGCGAGATCGCGAAAAAGTACTTCATTTCATTTTATTTCTTTGCTGGGTTTTTTCTGCTTGCAATGTTTAACCTTATTTTCCTTAAAGCAACGTATCCAGAAAGGGACGCTAATGATTCGAACTTGTGGCTTTTAGTAAAAGAACTTATGCGCCTTCAAAATGCCATGTTCATGGTTGTGGCTTGCTTCCTAGGCATTCTTGTGGGTATGCACGAGTATTTTGGTCTTTGGTACTTAGATGACCTGGGAGCACAACCTTACATG